ACCAACGCTTATAATGGTTCATACCATTGTGAACGCATGTCTGCACAAAAAATATTAATATAGCGGCAAATCTAGAGACAGCGTAAAAAACATGTTTCTTGTAAAAAAAAAAAAAAAGGTATTTGTACTGTAGGTGTCCCTAAAACTAGATGCATAGCTTGTATTTTAGTATACACTTGCTTTCACATGTAAGTTAAACAGTAAAATAAAAAAATATGTGCAGTCTTTCATGGTCATCCTGTAATAGGTGCAGGAATGCAAACCTGTCACCCTTTATTTAATATCACCAATGTTATTGAGAACCACTCAATATCCCTCAAAACAAAAACAAAAGTTTGATTAATAAATTAGATGTAAGTAAATTCAATATTTAACTTTGGTACACTGAGGCACATTACCGAACATAACTGAAAAAACTTGATCCCACTCCGATTGGTCTAATTCTCACCCTGTGAATATGGGTATAAAATTCAGATCTTCCATGTCGTCAATATAATGACTACCCACGTCAGTTGGGTCACTTCACTCCCATTCATTAATTATCTCCTGTGGTCTCATTGGATAGTAAAGTGTCAATTGGATGCACATTTAAGAATCTAGAAGTAGCTTGTGGGTCATACTTCCGGTTTTCCAATATTATAAATTCGGACATTCTACTCTCAAATCAAATACTGTTTTTGTAGATACTATATAATAGGGATGTATGCGGTTTTGGAAACTGCACCATTTTGCACATTTTGTATATCTTTGCCATTAAACACTCCTGATGCAGAGCTGTAAAAGAAACACACCAAATGTGCAGAGTGGTGGGTCCCACAGCTCTGGAGTTAAAATAAATAACTGTTGTAGATGGTAATACTATTCCTTTGTACTAAAAATAAACATCAGAAGAGGAATTTAGTCACCATTCAAAATGTAAAGTGTAAATTCCCTGTCAATTAAAATGTAGTGGAGTAAAAAGTACATTTACGTCTTTAAAAGTGTAGTAAGAGTAGTTTAAAATGTAGTAAAGAGTGAAAAACGCTAATATATTCGATACTCTGTACAATTACAAATTAGCCAAATCTATACTTAAGTACAGAAAGAAATTACATTTACTCCAATTACTCCATCCACTGCTGAAAAGGCATAATCTTATGATACTACATTCACAGACTGATATCCATTTCCAAAATCCCTGTACTGAAATCAACACTATTCACAACACTAAAATAGGAAGCTCCCTATGGGATTACATGCGATTTTCTCAGTGAACTGAATTAAAATGACTGTCTAATTTATACAAGCTAACCCCATATTGTCAACAAAGGGTGTTGGACATGGCAGATAAAGGAGACAATCGTGAGCTCATATGACAAAGAAAGTGAACATCAGAGCCAAGAGGATAATAAAATGTACAGGAAGAATGTAGCATAATGTATGATGATGAGTATTGAAAAGCATTTCCCCCCTTGCTGCTAATTCTTTGCTGTTTCCCACTCAGTTTTCTTCATTCTTTAGGAACACTGACATAGCAGTTTCAGGCCTGTTCATTAGGGCTGAGCTCAGACACAGAGTCTGATGAGTCCTTTGAAGCCTCACAGAATTCCTTAGCACATGTGGCAGAAATCAGCACTTCATAAGCAAGAGGGAAGGACGACAGTGGGCAAATGGTACACATGCTGAGTTTCAAAGCAACATCAACAGGAACTGGTGTGCCCATCAACGTTCTCATTGAAGCCTGAGCTGAATGCTTTATTTTTTTTTATAAAAATGGAAAAAAAAAACTGGTTTTAACATACAGCATTTATAACTACACCTCTCACAAATCTATCTTTTAAATTCATATTTTGATTAGGAAGCTATACAATATTATATTTGTGCATATACATTAGATTAGTCAGTACTGTAGTCAAATCTGGAGCTTTTCTAACAAAATAACTTACGATAACGGTCAAAAAACTACACCCAAATTTTAAAAAGGGAAAAATCAAGAGAAGTAAAAAAATTGTAGGTTGTGATTTTTTTTTTTTGCAATATTTTGCTTGAATTTAATTGTGTTATCTTTCAATTTAATTTTTTTTTTTGGTGACTAAAATATATTTTTAATAAATATATCTGTCTAATAAATCTGTTTTGTTTAAATGCACCTAAATACATTGCTTATATTCACTGAGAAATAGATTAAAAATATTTATTTTCAAAACTGGGTGTACTCAATTATGCTGAGCACTGTAACTAAAATACACAATAGATTGATCCAAAAAAATTTCCATTAACTTTTTTTTTTTTTTTTTTTTGCAGCTAAAAGCAGCTCAGGTCATATTTCAGAGAAGATATTTTCAATGGGCCAATAAAACAGCGACTAATTTCATCCTCCTCTGAACGGAGTGGTCATTTATGGGGTTTCAGACAGACCTCTGCGAGTCACTAATGGAGAGGCATGTGTCATCCGATATGGGCAGGGCCTTTCATTCAGATTCCAAGAGCAACTGTCAGTCTATCCCTCATCTCTCTCTTTCTCTCCCTCTCTCTAGTGTAGTACATTAGAGTAATTAAGTCTGCCAACAGTTGTTTCTGCTCTTCTAGCTAAAGCCCCAGTCAAGACGTACAGTGTCTGTCCTTTCAGATTCACAAAGGGGACAGACAGAAATCTATTGTGTCTTATTATTTGTTCTATATCATTTAAAAACTGATAGTGAAAATAGATGATGAAGTAAATAAATGTAAAACTACACATTGTCAACTAAAGTCAACATGAAATAGAAAACCCTCGCTAATTTGTGAACAAATTATAATTTTTTTAACCATTATTCCTTTTTTAAACAAAATATTTAATATTCCAGTCTGCCACACTGTAAAAAAAATCCTGTATAATTTACAGTAACTCACTGGCAGCAGTTCGCCAGTAACTTATTGTAAATCTAATTACAGTATAAATACTGTATTTCCATTTACAGCCGATTAAAACATACTGTATTTTAATGGCACCATGGGATATTTCACACAATGCAACTTTAAAATACAGTTCTATACTGTATAATTGTTCTACGGTAAATTACAGCTCATTTTACAGTTAAATACTGTGTAATTTACAGAAATTGTTAACAGTGCAGTGACATGACAGACTTGTATCACATAATGTATGTCTGATATCTTTAATCATTTAATCTACATAAACCTAAGTCTTTCTTTCAATCGCATGCATTTTGCATTCAAATCTGCCTCCATCCAATCAGGAACCGCACTGTCACAGGTTTTTCCAGTTCATTTTATTTAATTACATCACAATACAGAATAAAGGATCTGTCATAGTGATATTAGATTTTGATTCTGTTATTATTGGCATCTCTCAACATTTAGCAACATTTAGCATTACACAAATGCTAAAGTGTAATTCATTTTTTTTTAAACATTAAAGGTAGGTCTCTGAGAAAATACCAGACGTTTAGGTATAAGAAACAGGCAAATGCAATAGTTTAAAAAATAAATCCACCACAATTCATTCTCCAAATGCATGAAAAAAAGAAAACCATTCACAATTCTGTATGCAAATTTGTAATTCCCCAATTAGATTTTAGATTTAACTTATAGTTGCAAGCATTGCAATGTACTTGCAATTAATGTTAGATGTTAGAGTTGTCTGATGGTCATCCATTGTTTTTCTACTACATTTTTTTTTCACAATTTGTGATTACCCAGCAGGCACACAACACCATAAGACGTTAATATTAGGTTAGATTTAGATCATGACGTCAGGTGACCAAAATTCAATGGCTAGCTTATTTTGAAATCCAAAAATGATGTCAAATTATGTTGATGTTTGGTTAATTTTAGGTTGTGTTTGAAAGCGACCAAAATCCAACGTCTGATAGATGTTATAGTGGTAACGTCCACATAACGTCAATGTGTAACACGATTAGACGTAGATATTTGGTAAGCCTGACCCTGGCTTTGGGTTCTGACATCAACCTGATTTTCATTTCCAAACAAAATCCAACGTGCCCATGACATTGAGGTACATTGGCGTACAATGTCAATATGATGGTATGTTGATGTCCTGTGCCTGCAGGGAACAAACATGTTTTGTGCTGTTAAAATAACTGTAAGCTGATTGGAAAATACGATGAATGTTTGTCAACTCTCACTATAGTGTGCTTGGAATGGGAATATACAATTATTATTTGGAGTTTTAGCCAATGATTGTTGAGATGGATATCTTAGAAGCTGTTAAAAAGTGATCCCCTATATTCTGTGCTGCTTATTTACATGCAAAACCAAGTTTTAAAACTATTTGTTCTTTTTAATCTGTATTTTTGAGGTGAAATTTAATACTCAAATACATAACATCATTGACTACTGTACTTTATGATTTTGATTGAACCCTAATAATGTACACCTCTTGTGAAGCAGCTTTGGAACAATAGTTACTGTAAATAAAAAAAGCGTTATACAAAAAACTTGAGATGAACCTAACAATTAAATTGTACAAATTCTGTATAGAGAACTATATAGAGAACGAGCGGCCTCGAATCACGGTTCTGTGCTGTGCTGAACACACACGTCAGATGAATAGCATTTTTGATAACCAAGTAGCCTATCGCAAATTCGCAAAGATTTAAAAAAGAGATGCTGTTTCTAAATTAGGCATGTAAACAACTGCACTGAATGACAAAGCCGTTTAGGAGAAGCCTATTTCTGTCAGCACGGGCTAAATAGCGCATGTGTGCTGGATGCTGCTCACCGCTGGATGTCATACCGTTATCCGCTACCGCACACATTATACACCACCACAAAAAAGACAAAGGGTACAATAAAAAGAAAAAAAGAAAAGAAAAACATGCTTATTAAAAATATATCGTTTAAATGAGCCCCGATGATAACAGCAAATCACACTGAACAAAAAAGGCAAGAGAAGAGCAGAGCTTGGGATGTTTTGCAGGTGTGGCTCTATTCACTCATTCTAAGGGCCAGCGGTACATTGGCCTGCCCACTAAATTAAGAATAGTTGCTATACTCACTCCATAGTGTCTCAATGCTGTTTCCCCCTCAAATTTCAGGTTATTTCCCCGGCTGTTTGTTTGTTTTATCAGAGGCGCAGCAGCATTAGTGTCAGCCCAGTGTCTTCTCCCTGTGTGAGAGCTGTGAAACCAGGAGCTGCTGCTGCGTGCGTCCCTCCCCTGAATCTGCCTCTCTCTGCGCCTTATTATCAGACCACCGCAACCCGGAAAGAAAGTCGCGTGTCAACGAACTCTAAGACATTCACACTGTAGCATATGTTTCTGAACTCACTAAAAGTATCCGTTTTTTGAAAATTTTTTTTTAGTTTTGTACATATACGTGAATAATGACATTTTGTATTAAGGATCTATGGCCCAATCTGACCATTAAAGGAAAGCTTTGTCGCCACTACATGGATGTAAAAGGTACTACGAGCCTATAAATATTTATGCAGTAAAGAGAATAAGTTTAAATACTTGATTTTGCATTGACTATATATTATTAAAAATGGTTGCTCCTGTGACCCATTTACCCAATCACGTGTTCATTAAAAATGACTTACAGTAGCTTACCATTATCTAATAGACAATTTGCTCCAAAATGAGAATAAAAAAGCAAGCAATTGTCATGAATTTTTCTACATTTTAAAAAAGAGAAAACAATATTTCTTGTTAGAGTGCATTTGCAGACCTGCTCATAGTTATACATTTGTAATCCTTAATGTGAGAAAGAACTTACTTACACTTAGAAGGATTATTTATAATAAATATTAAATGTATATTTTAAAATTGTATTTAATTATATAATTATACAGTTGAATATTATTAATTTAAACAACTGGATTGTTAATAGTATTATTATGTGTGATAATATAATAAATCTAAGCAAAAATCCTTCATACATCTCTTGTGTATAAGAAACTATCAGAGTATGCTGCACAACTTCTTCTCTGGGCCCTTGTTATATCCAGGCTCATATTCAATCAGACATGATTCAAAAGGCTGCATGTCAGCTCTTAAACAAGAATGACACATCGCCATTTATCGCCTTGCATAGCCAGCCAGGTGTAAGGGGTGGCTCTTTTTTCTTAAAATGTGGAACATTTTGTAATTATTCAACTCATTTTCTATTTAATTATACATTAAGAGAAATTAATAAAATACTTATTTTTAAAATGCAAATTAATTTCATCATATATCATTAGAAAAAAGGCAATCTTTTAAAGTTTTAAATAAAAAACTGTAGCCTATTTATGTCATTTATTAGTCAAATAACAAACTGGCCGGCACTTTCAACTTTACTTAGTCATAATAGATTTATTCATTAATTTATTTTCTTTTCGTTTTATACGTTTTCGTTTTTATGTTTTATACAGAGGATGCCCTTCCAGCTACAATCTATCCCTGGGAAACATCCATACACACAGACAATTTAGCCAACCCAATTCACTGAAAGCACATGTCTTTGGACTGTGGGGGAAATCGGAGTACCCGGAGGAAACCCACACTAACACGGGAGAGAACATGCAAACTCCACACAGAAACACCAACTGACCAAGCTGAGGCCTGAACCAGCAACCTTCTTGCTGTAAGGCGAACATGCTACCCACTGTATCACTGTGCTGCCCCAGTTTTATATTATTAATTTAAATGATTTTGTGTGAATATGTTATAATATGTGATAATATATTAAATCTAGATGGCAATGTAGCTTAGTGGTTAGCACTGTCACCTGAGAGCAAGAAGGTAGCTGAATCGAGTCCTAGCTAAGCCAATTGGCATTTCTGTGTGGAGTGTACATGTTCTCCCCATATTTGGGTGGGTTTTTTTCAGGTTACTCCGGTTTCCCTCACAGTCCAAAGACATGTGTTATACTGTAGATGAATTGGGTAAACATCAATACATTTTAGTAATAAATTTTGTTTAGGTAAACAAATATGGCCCTAGTGTGTGTGTGTGTGAATGCGAGAGGAGAGTGTATGGGTGTACTCACTATATGCTATCCGAACCGTGCCCAGGCCCGTTTCCCAGATCGTTTAAGAAGTGTGAGTGCGCTGAATCAGGCTCAGGCTCACTTGGCCGGCCCTGACCCGGTTGGAAGAGGTGTGCGTGCTTCACTTGGGCTTTGGTGCGGTACGCTTGTGTGTGAGTGCAAAACGCACCAAAGCCTGAAACTGAAAGCGAGACATGACTTTTAAGGGACTGTTTCATATGGATTTATTAATAATTCTTACTGTTTAATGAACTCAAACTGCCGTAGTTTATTAAAGATGCAACCCTCTCACTGCACGACAGCTGCGCACCTTCAGCAAACCTCCTAATTCCCCTGCAGCACGAGGGCTTTATGATTGTTTATGAGCGTCAAAAGTGGCTGATCTCTTCGACGAAATGTCTGACTGCGTGTTACAGCATCCCAAACGATATAACTGAAGAAATCTCCACTGTGCTGAATGAGAGCGCCCCTGACCACCAGCGCATCATTGATGACGTAAGCTTGCCCAGACCCGATTGTAATGTGAGTGCGGGCCGTCGGGGAAGACGGGACAAGCGTGCTTTGGCCCGGTTCAAGGCAACTGTACATAGTGTGAGTACGGCCTATGTTTGTTTCTCAATACTGGGTTGTGGCTAGAAGGGCATCCACTTCATAAAACATATGCTGGAATAGTTGGAGAGGGGTTTGGATGCAGACCAGGTGCAGTACAATCTAAGCTGCATCCAATGCTTTTTAATGCACTAACCTAACCTCACCCCTCAAGGTGATGTCACTAGCTCTATTGAGCTTGCATCATCAAGGCTTCATCCAGATACTGTTGGCGGTTCATTCCGCTGCGGTGACCCCTGATAAACAAAGGACTAAGCCAAAGGAAAATTAATGAATGATGAGTATTAAGTCTATGCAACAATCAGTTATACATCTCTTGTGTATATGAAAAACGCTCCAGTTACTATAAGTAACCACCGTTCCCCAAGGGGAGGAATGGAAATGCTATGTGGAAACGTCCACTTTGGGGATTTCATCAGAATACGATCATCTAAAAGAGTATATAAACAGGCCAATGAATTGCCAATGAGTTGCAGTGTCAACATGCACAGCTGACACCACTTACAATCAATTTGAAATATGAACGCAGCACGTGCCAAGCTTAGGCATCCTTTTCTAGCTGAGGAATCTGTCACGCCCAATAGCTAAGGGGCAATTATTGTGGTGAAGGAACATGGCATTTTCGCCCTGGTGGCAAGAAGACATATAGGCTAGCCCTGAGAAGGGGGAGTACATGAAAAAGAGATGGTTAGCGAGAAGGGAAGACACTGGTCCACCTGGAGGGGAACTACATCGTGGCTGAGTGAGCATATCGCCAGGGGGATCGCACATAGCAGGCACCAATACCCAGAATGTAGCCTGACCAGCGGGCATGCCAACAATGTAACGGGCCAACACTTGACTTCTTTGCTGAGTCAAATGCTGGGGCCCTCAGAGGAACTCTGCAGTGTTCGCCAAGTTGGGAACTCAACTGACAAAGCGAGAAAGCGTACGTATCTTTGTGTTAGAGAGAAAAAAAAACACCAATTCACCAGCACTGGATTTTCCAGCACACATGAAGAAATCGGCTCCCCTCAAAGATGAAAAAAAAAATCTCAGAAATGTATTAGGTGTCACCCAGCCCGCAGCTCTACAATGTCTGTTAGAGAGGCGCCACGTGTTAATGCCTAAAAGGATGCGCACCCCGAATGAAGTGCACTCTTTCTTCTGGGGGACAAAGCTCACCCTGGCTCAGATAAGAGAGGTAGATGGCATCCACTGTTCAGCTGGTATGTTCCATATATGTTATGGCTCGTTTCCACTGACTGGTACAGTATGGTACGGTTCGGGTCGGTACGGGTCACCTTTATCAGGCTTGCGTTTCCACTACCAAGGGTACCCTTTTGGTGAGCGTGGTGTATGACAAAGTTTCAGTCGACGTCATTTTCGCTCGAGAAAATGTCTACAATAAAGCTGCATAGGTCGTTCACATATCATATGAAAAGCACTTCTCAAAAAAAAGATGCTTTACACACATAAATACTTGTGTATAAATGTTTATTACTAACTTTTCTATAAACAGGAGTTGATTATAACTGCAGATCAATGACGGTGCGAAATAGCCTACTGTAACGTCTATAATTATATTAAATAAATAAATAAATGAACATATATGAACACATACAGACCCTTAAAGTCTCCGATATGTTACCAACTACAGAAGAACTACACAAAGCAGACACTTCGTCGTTAATTAGGTTCAAAACAACACAAAGTATAGCCTACAGTACAGTCAGTGAAAACCTTTCATCTGTGTCTGTAATCTTCATCAGCACATGAAGCCTCTGTTAGAGTCATTCAATCATTCCCAGTTCATATTAGTCCAAAAGGTGATAATAAAGATTAAAACAAGGCAGTTTGTTCACGTTTGCTGAAGAAATAACGTGCTCATTGGCTTCACCTTTTTTCTCGCGCTCCACTCTCGCATTTGTCCTTTTCTTTCTGAATGTGTCACTCTCGTTTGTCAGCTTCTCACAGGATCGGTTTCCAAAGCTTGTCAATAATCAAGTGCATGTTATTATCATCAGATCAAGAAGTTTGTTATTTCAGATAGAGACGCGCGGCGAGCGCAAGAAAGAAAGCGAAACCACTTGGGCTTCAGACTGGCTCGTTAAAAACTACACGGCACAGGGTGAATCTGCTCTTCTCCATGGCTTTGTGGCTGTTTATCATGACGACAGGGTTTGTTTGCAGGATCGACCTTGGCTGCATATTTTTTTATAGTTCCGCTGTAATCTCTCGCTGTGTATTTCAAACATGGTGGGTCCTTTGTGTACATTCTGGCTTGTTGAGTCTACGAATGACGTATCCCTGTAAACCAATAGCGTTCAGCTGCGCGTGTAGCTCCACCTTTTGGGACCTTTTTCTGCAGTTTGTTGAGTCGAAAAAGTGGTACGGTACGGTTTGGTTCGGTACGCCTTTTGACAGTGAAAACAGCCATAAAAGCGTACCAAACCAAACCAAACCGTACCATACCACTCAGTGTAAACGGGCCATTAGATATGGTTCGTCCCTTCTGCCAATCTTCATAACAAATTAAGAGCTACTCA